GGGCTCGCTGCGGCGGCGCGCGAAAGGTCACCGCGGTGGCATTCCTCTCCGCGCGCTGTTTACGTGACTTAATGTACTTCATCCGCCGCGGGTAAGTTAGGGCCGCGATAAGGGGGCGGCCGGGGGAGGGTCGCTGTAAAAGCCCCAAGCTGGGCGCCTTCCAGCCCTCCCCTCATCCATTAACCTTTTTACTTTCTTCTTCCCTCTCTCTTTTAAAGCTTGTTATCTAGGCCACCCAATGACCGACGAGAGATTTTCCCTCCCTGCTTCTCCCAAGGCCGCTTTAAACCAAATAAATTTAGCTATTAAGGGCCACGATGTCTGACAAAAGATCGAAAGGTGTCTTTCCATGATCGCTTAAAGAAGCGAAGGAGAAGCTTGTAGCTCTCGGATCCCGATAAAGACATTCCACACCGGCGCCGGCCTCCCTCCTCGCGGCCTGCTTGCGTCCCGACTCCCTGAGATCCCCACTTGGCGGCCCAGATCTCGGATGGGCCCCGCGGGACCTGCGGCCGCTGACCAGGGAGTGCGGAGGTCCCCAGCCGCCTGGCCGGCGAGGACCAAGCCCAGGGATCCCGGGAGCTGTGGGACTCCGGGCCGGAGCTGGCCTCCCCAGACAGCCCCGCTGCACTAGACAGAAAAACTAAACCGAGCTCGGTGAGACCCACATCACCGTCCCATTTTGATTATTTTCTGATACTGAATAATACTACAAAGCCAGACCACCCTTACTTTCTCGCTCCCACTCCTGGCAGTTCTGCCGAGGGGCAGTGTTGCTCCCCATTTCTGGGCGTCGGAAGCAGACCTTTCGAATCCTGCTCAGAACATGGTGGGTGGAAGGAACACCACCTGACTCACAGTGAGGTTGATGAAGAGGGTTGAGCATGCAGAATAACAGTGTGCAAGGGGGAGTCAGAGGTCCAAATATTTGGTCATCCTCAGGTTGTCTCGTTATGAAGCGTGGTATTTTTTGTTATGTTGTTGTTGTTGTCACTATTATTTTTATCTACTACTGTCATCACCACATGAAGCTTAGGGCTG